GATTTGCTTGGACGCTCTGGAAAAACGATGAAAAGGAGTTAAAGGATGTGTCGGCGCACAAAAGCAACACCCAAGTTGTTTACTGATAGATGAATAAGTTTATTGTGATATATGATGCTTTTCCGCCCCACTTCTTATATCAACCTGGGCATCCACCCTCTGTATTATCATAAGCAGTTTAAGAAGGTTCAACCCTTGATCAACTCTTCTGTTGCTTTACTTTTTCATTATTTCTCATCTAAAATTTTTAAAACGAAACACCAACCGCCTCAGATACGACCTAAATCTTTAAGTTACCCATTTTTTTTATTTATTTATTTTATTTTTATCATCATCGTTTCCATATCAATTTTATTTTAGGTTCAGATTTTAAGTGAGAAGCTGGACTTCACTCATGTTCAGTCAAAGTGCGGCTCCAAGGACAATCTGAAGTACACGCCAAAAGGAGGCAATGTATGTAATCACTTCTCTTCTCTCTCTTTCACTTTTTTGCGCTTTTTTTCCTAGCTTTATTGCTTCGACATCCTGCTTTTATGTGTGTCTATCTGTTTTGTCTGTCATCTAATTCAACATATGAATTAATTTCAGTGCAAACTTGCAGAACTTTTGCTGTTTAGGAGAATTTTCTAACAAAAACATTCAAATGAGACTTTAAAAGGACTATTTTGGGTGAAAAAAGCAGAAATGTGCTCTAGAACCTCTCAATATTTTTTTGTTCTTTGTGTTTAAGATCTAAAAGAAAAAAAAAGAAAAGTCAACCTGTTATTTTATAGGTCATGATTCCAAGCGTTAAGCTGGACTTTAGCCACGTTCAGTCTAAATGTGGCTCCCTGGATAAGGTCCACCACTCGGCAGGCGGGGGAAACGTGAGTGACTCTGCGCAAAGTTCATCCCCCAAAGAACAAACCTCCCGTCATCACGATAAACGTCCAGGGCATGTCTATAACGTGTAGTTGTTGTGTTATTTATTATTTTTTGTGATTTGTGCCACGGAGTGTAAATCCATAAATCACTCATTCTTATGAAAAAGGTGAAGAAACATCCCTTTAGCATGCAGGGTTGTCCGCTTTAAACTTGTTTCCACTTTGACCTCTCTCTGGGGAAGTGATGTCATCAATCCGAGTTGTCATAAACTCACAAATCCATGTTGTGATTTGTGCCCCTCCCCTCCCTCCCTGTTCTACACTAAGCTATATATTGTATATTCACTGCATTTCATATGAATAAACAAGTAAAGTCAGCGTTAAGCATTAAGTCCGGCTCCTTGCCTCTTACAGGTTCACATCCAGACCAAGAAGATCGACTTGAGCCATGTCACCTCCAAATGTGGCTCCATGTCCAACATTCATCACAGACCAGGTGACTCACAGTGTGCTTAAAAAAAAAAAAAAAGATAAATCAAAAGTTTTCTGTGTTTTACTGAATATTAATCGGCAGCTCTTAATTAGTTTAAAAAGGGAAAATGAAACCTTTGGAGTTCCACAAGGATATGTCTGTGGGACTTTTTTTTCTCTACATTGTGATTGAGTGAAATTTGAAAAAATGATGCATTCCAGAAATGAAACTTTGAGAAACAGTTTAATCAAACAAGGATAACTTTGCTGTTTGCTTTTTTTTTAATGCAAAATTGAAGTTTTTTTCAGATCTTTTTTTTTGTTTGATATTTTTTTCTAAATCTTTGTACAAATTTAAAGTTTCCAATAAGATTTTCTTTCAAAATGTTATTTGACAGATGCAAGATTTTGATTTTTTTATTTTGTTTTACAAATACTTTGCAATTTAAACACCTCCTCTTGACCAATGCATTTTTTTTTTTGCCAAGATCCTTAAAGAAATGCCTCTTGAGTCTGCAAGAAAAAAACAAAACTGAAAGAATTTTTTTTATCCTGAGATCTAGTTGTTGCGGAGCCCCCAGGGGACATGGGGAATTTGTTTTTCTTTTGCGTTCCCTCGCAAAAGTATTGCGTTACCTCGCAAAATTTTTCGCTACCTCGCGAAACCTTTTGCGTTACCTCGCAAAACCTTTTTCACAGATTCGGACTTCCGGGATCAATAACTCTCGTTGTTGAAACACAAATGGCGCCTCTTTCATGTCCTGATAGCACAGACTACGTATTACAAGAATCAAAAAGCGTTATTTTTGAGAAAAACGAGCCGTTCTCCGAGCTGGATATATTTCATTGATCTCTATGCACAGGCAGCGGCCAGGCGAGTGGTTAGGGACCGTCTGCAAATGGTAAAACAACAGAAAAACGTTGCAAATAAAAATCAATAACTCCACTGCCATAAAGTGCAGAGACTACAAAATCACCACACACACCAAGGGGCTCTTGGTGATCGCACTACAACAGCTGGTTTGGAAAAATACACCTTTACTTATTTTTTTAGAATTTTTTTGTTATTATTAAGCATTAATATCATCCTATTTTACTTCATAAAGAACTCCCATCTGCCTAGCATCTCTGTGTACTTCATTCACAAAAAGTTATAAAAAGGTGTATTTTTTCCAAACCAGCTGTTGTAGTGCGATCACCAAGAGCCCCGTTTTTGATTCTTGTAATACGTCGTCTGTGCTATAAGGACATGAAAGAGGCGCCATTTGTGTTTCAACAACGAGAGTTATTGATCCCGGAAGTCCGAATCTGTGAAAATCGATCTAACTTTACCGAAGTAAGGCTTTGCTTTCTCACGCAAAAGGTTTTGCGAGGTAACGCAAAAGTTTTTGCGAGGTAACGCAAAAGGTTTTGAGAAGTAACACAATACTTTTGCGAGGTAACGCAAAAGATTTTGAGAGGTAATGCAAAAGTTTTGAGGTAACGCAAAAGGTTTTGAGAGGTAACACAATACTTTTGCGAGGTAACGCAAAAGGTTTTGAGAGGTAACGCAAAAGTTTTTGCGAGGTAACGCAAAAGGTTTTGAGAGGTAACACAATACTTTTGCGAGGTAACGCAAAAGGTTTTGAGAAGTAACACAATACTTTTGCGAGGTGACGCAAAAG